ATCCAGCTCTGGCAGCGCTTGGCAACCCCCTGCTTGGCATCACAGGGCACTTCTGCCTTCACAGGCTGCAATGGTCCAACCACAAGCCAGTCATGTTAAGGGGGTATGGGAGGGATCTGAGGAAGGACACGGAAGATTTTGATTTATTTAATTAAAAGCTTAGATCCTCTGCATTTACAGCCCGCTTTTCTGCCCTTCTCCCATGACACAAGCAGTCTGGGAGTACTGTTAACCCTGGGCACCTAGAGACTACGCCTTGAAGAAGCTACACGTCTGCCCTCCCCAGACCCTGTACTGGCATGGGTGTCAGCCCTAAGTCTCGCTTTCTAATCCCTTTCTGCAACATAAACATCCCAGTGATGGCAACTGTTATTTCCAAAGAAGTCATCATCTAAGTGCCTACCTCACTCACTGTCAGTGGAAGATTTTCATTTCATCTTCCCTACTCCACACTTATATATTTATTCCCCCAAACACCAACACAGATGCACTTGCATACAGATACCAGTAATGGGACTCAGCTCTTCTCTGTATATTAAAGCCTCTTTCTTGAGTGGAATTAATCTTGGCAGCTGTCTGACAGGAGAGACTATGTGGGAGGAAAATGGTTTTATCTAAAACTTGAAAGAAAGCAAAATAATCTTTGAGAGAACACACTGTGTTTCAACTCTTGCTCCTTCAGTGGAAAACTATTTACTAACAGAAAATACCCAACAACAGCAAAAATACAAAAGTATTGCTCTGAAAGGTAACATAAAGACCATGCATTTTTTCTTTCCTTTTACTTATATGGCCACTTTTCAAAACATTTATTAATAATACAGCTGAGTCTCTCCACAGGAGGCCAGAATCTGAGTCAGTTTTGAAAATCAAAATTGAGCAAATCCCACGGTTTTCTTTTACCTATGGTGGAGCAGGAAAGGTCTCCGTTTGCCCATCCTGCCTCTGCCGTACTTTCAGAGACAAGAAACCTAAGAAACAAGACAGTATGAAGTATCTCCGTATTTCTGATTTACTTTTCCACAGCAATCACGTTGATGAAACATACCACTGTTCCTCAGAATTAAAAACAAAGTTTGCTCTTACAGAAGCTATATTTCCCCTTGCTCGCAGGGAAGTCTCCCTTGGAAAAGGTCACCTAGCTCTAAGGTTGCATTACAACCTGCACTCAGGAGGCAGCATGCTTTCACGTCAACGTGGACACCCTGTTTCCAGCCTCTCCGGTCTACCCCTGTGCTTCTCCACGTCCTCCTCAGCTCATGGGCTGGCTCCACGCCCAAATCACTTAACCTTTTTTCTGACTCTGGGCTCTTGTTCCAGCCTGTCCTACTTGTTCTCTCCTCACCTTCACACTGATGTCCGGTCCCAGCCTACTCAGACTCCTCACTGGCTTTATGTAGCCTGGGGCTCTTGCCCCGCGCTGTCACCCTGCTGTTTCCTCCTCCCAGCTGCCTGCGCCCATGGGTCACGGCCAGGACTGCCTCCCTCCCTGCAGCTCCACAGCAAAGTACAGCAGCTACTTAAGTGAAGTTTCCCAAGGCAAACCAAGCCTTGGGAATGGCTGATCTTTTGGCCTGAGAAATTTCAGCTGAAATAATTAACAGATAAAGGCAGATGAAAATGCAATTTCACATGGAGAATGCTGGATATCTTGCTGCTATGTCTTATCTCATTAAAAATTCCAGCTTTAACACGTAAAAAACGTTAAAGGGACTTTTTTCCCCCTCAAAATCTATTTGGTGCCAAAGGTAAAATAACAAAATACAAGTGCACCTGGAAATCATGGAAATTTGCAACTGATGCAAGAGACTTGTTTCTGAGAAAACCGCTCCTGAAAGGTTCTCTATACCTCAGAGAATGTAATTTAAATAACTAAACAGTCTCCATTTGCAGTAGTTCAATTCACTGTGGCATTTGCCATCCTGACAGTGAGGATCCCTGAGAGGACTGTACTGACAGCAAAAGCCACGGTGCTTCATGCGCCTGCAACTTGTTTCTTGAACAGTTCAATAGCACAACACACTATATCACACTATTACGTATGCCTTCACCTGCTGCCAGTACTACTTCAGGCTTCAGCAACACTATTGTATTAATTAATGTCAAATCCATCGTATTTGAAGCTGTTCCTCAGTTCAGTTCTTGCTGGATGTCTAGGAAGGCATAGTTCTTGCTGGATCTCTAGGAAGGCATCTTAATAATGCTCCATTCCCACCCCCTTGACAGTGATGATGTTTATCACAAACCACTGTATTTGTTTAGCATATCTCCAAATTATTTTGGTAAAAACATACAGTAAATTTTACACAACAAAGCTTTTCCGAGCATTTTAAAAAACATGCAGAGCATGAAAATGATGCAGTAACCTGTTTGCATAGTATTCTGCCATCTATCTCCCCAGACTCTTGAAAAACTGACATGGTTCCTCAAGGGACTTATTTGATTAAAGAACATTAATTAATTGAGTGAACATCTGTGCTGTTTTTCAACTAATAATTAAAATTAACTAGGAATTGTAATCTCCTTAAAAGTGAAAAGTACACAGAATAACTGCAGCCCTCTTTCTCACAACATTTGGGTAGGGCTAAGCAACTACAGCATTCACCGTAACGGTTCCTGAGAGATTTGTAAGGCCCTGCGGTGGAAGTTTGCCTCCTGGCTAGCCTGACAACAGGAACATTTTATTCTTGGCTTCATGTGTTAACATATTAACCATGACAGTGCTGACATTTGTTGCTAAGTAAAACTGAATGTAAGTTGTCTAGAAAGCTGCCATTAAATTTAGAATTTATTTTTGGAGTTTGAAATTAAGTACTGTCAACACAACTCATGTTTCCATTTATACGCAATATGACAGGAATCTTAATGACTTCTCCAAACTCCACGTATAAAAGAAAGAATGGAAATAAGAGTAACGATTTTAATTGCTCTCAAACTGTATTACAAAAAGCAACTGACATATATGGTATCATAAGAGCTTAAGGACTATCCAACAGGACAGAGTAAGTAGGAGGGCTAGATGAGAAAATGTCACGTCACATGTGGAAACGAAATATTGCTTCCATCCCCCAGTGTAACCCACGAGGTCAGGAAAAATGCAGGATCATCCTTTTCCTCACATGGGAGACATTCTTAGTTATTTAAACACAGGGCTTTATTCCCTGAGATCAAAGCAGGGAGCCAAGGAGAGCCGAGCCATTGGTATGCAGCACCAGGAAGAAGTGGAGATTAACAGCAAAAACGAGATTTCATTGCATGTGACAGAAGCCAACTAAGAGTCTGGAGACCGCAAATATCAGATGACTGCAAAAGAGAACATCTCTGAACGAGGAGGTAGATTCATTTAAGATGTTCTTAATAGCACTGCAGACACTTAGTCTAGAGGTAGTCAATGCAAGAGCCAGTCTGGAATTAGTACGGGAGTGCTCAGCCATGTAATACTGAGGCTGCAATGAGAATTGGTGGATTCGTACAAATATCATAGATATTTGTAAAATTTTCAGAGGCTTACAGAAATATCTATTTACAGTACAGAGTCACCTGCACAATGACTGTACTCAGTCACTAGTTTGCAATGTACCCACTTAGTTGTATGCTTTTTCTGAAATGGCTTTTAACAAGGTTGGGTGGTTCAGGGAAATGAAAGACACCTCTCTCAGGACATTTGCTTAGTATCCACTAATTGTAGATGGTTTCTGAATGGTTTACTTTCTGATCCCTGCTTGGTAAACAAAACGAGGGAAGCCTGAGAGTTTCTATTCAAAGCAAGCTGAATGGGTCTCTTCCTCATAGCCCCTCGTCTGTACCTGGTACCAGCCTTAGAGAAGGAGGCCAGGAAGAGGTAACTTAGAGCACTGGAAGATCAGCAGCAGCCCCAGGGAACCTGCCAGCACTCAGCTCTCAGGATGAAGTGATGGGGGCAGGCAGCACCTGGAACCTGTGTGGTTCACTCTCATGGCTTCCAGCCACAGGAGCGACCAGACATGTGCATCCCAGTTGGACCTGGGCCCAGAACCACTTGAAATTTCTGCAGAAGTAGGAAAATTAAGCTGCGAATTCATCAGACCTTGCTTGCTCTGGTGTCACAACAACAATTACGGTCTTATTTAACCAATTTTTCTTTTCTTCCTACTCAGTTTTCCATTTTCATAGGTGTTCCAATACCACATAATATCTGGCAATAAAATTCTGTCTGGAATAAAATTGTTCCCCCCTCTTTTTTGCTCACAGTGCAGAGAGTTTAAAGCCTGCTGAAGGATTAAAAAATAATCTATCTGCTGTCATGATATCATTCCTCAGGCTTATCTACTTTCTTTGGGCAGTAAATACACTTTTTGTGCTACCTGGCCCCATTCCAGCCCAGTATTATACTGGTGTAAGAACTCTGAAGAAAAAAGAATTTGCTAGTGCCAGCTTGTAGCCTTCTGCAAAAGGGGCCTTTCCTCTTGTCTGAGTGGTTTATGCTCCTGAAAAACCGAGCACATCACTTGCAGACTGCGAGCAAGAGCCTCTAAAAGAAATACTGAGGTCTGACAGCATACACTCTCTTCGCATCTGGGGTGTACACCGTTCCCTGAGAAAAAGTCCCAGTGTGACTACAGAGAAAATGCCACCATTCACACCACGAGGTATTCTGGGCTGGATGACCCATGGACTAGCAGGATGCATAGGGGGGACGACTGTGGGATGTACCCCGGATGGCCCCTCCCCACAGTACAGAGACAGAGTTCACTGACACGTCCTGCAGACTGTGGCATCACTGAGTCTTACTGGAGAGAGGATACATCTCAGAGAACGGAAGAGCATTTGTAGCAGTGAAATAAAAATAAAATCTGAGGCTGTTTGCGAGGTGTGTGCATACAGCACTCACCGAGCTTGAAACAGGCATGGGGAGAACAATGTAACCATAACCACAGATTTGATCGTCACCCTGATCTCATAAAAAATAGTCTGTGTCACAAAGAAAACATGATAGGTGCACATAACGATGAAACACTTACCCTGGAATCCTTTTCCAGATGAAGCTTGTGTTGAAGACTGCGTCTTCTCCTGGCCTTGGCAATGCCATTGTGATAAAAGAAGTATCCAGTATCTAAAAAAGGGAGCTGAGGAAGAGAGAGAGAGAAAAAAACATCATGGAGTATTGGCTACTAATAAGGATGAAATGGAAAACTTTTACCTGTGAAGTGACTCAGGAATCTACAACAAGACTTACAAAGAGTTATGCCAAAGGGCTCAAATCACTCTTGAGAACGTCACTTCTAAGTTACTTCTGAAAAATGTGCCCAGCAGCATTAAAGTTATTTGCTACAGGTTTACAATGCGTAACTTCACTTGTATACACTTGGTACTATTTTCACCTTATGTTTAAGGTCAACAGCGCCAATATTTCTGAAGGGCTTTCCAAATCACATCAGAATTATTTCCCATTTCCTGAAAAAGCCAGAATAAAAGAACAAAATGAACTGCAAATGATGTGAAACTACCACAAACCATCCTTCAGCAATAAGGCGTTACACAAATGCTTTTCTGAGCCATTATAACGTACCCGAGCTGATGCCGTAAGCAGTAAGGCAGAAAGCAGAGTGATTTCCACTTTCTGAAAAATACGGTATTTGGAATTTCTTCTGAATATCAGGAAATGGAACATAAGAAGAATATTAAGAAAACAGACAGCTCACAGTGTCCGGGTGGGAACTTAAACCTCTTAGCAGGAGTTCAAAGTTCTTTACTGAAAAACTGAGACTGATGTCTAGATAGAATATTCATTGTGAAAACCTGGGTTGAATAAGGGTAGCAGGATCTTGCTGCCATAAAACAGATTCTGTTCCTGTCTACAGGCATATACAGTTCACAATTTTTCTTCTATGAAATTACCTCTTGTTTCATTAAATCTATCACTATATCTGGTGCAGTTCCGCAAATATATTTTGGCATACTTGTGGAGTGGTGTGGGAACGGAAGATTCACAGAGAATTCTGAAAGATGAAAATTTGGTCACATTCCAAAAATTAGTATGTGAGGGTTTTTTTTTTTTCCTACAAAGTTCTATTTTATGTTAATTGAAACATTTAATATTAATGAAACCAAAGCATTTCATTTTCACTTTTAAAATTCCATTGTGTATGATACGTAATACATAAACACAAAGTAACTTTAAAAAAAAAAAAAATCAAAGCATTCTGTTTTGATAAAAAGACCTCTTTTTAGGTGTATATAAAAGGTTAAGGAGATTTCATCAAAATCGTTACGGTCCCTTAGAGCTGATTTGTGGGGTTGACTGGAGACCTTTTCTGAGCAAATAAACAGAGTATTTTGCATCAGCTCCATACACATGTGAAGAACACAACAGCTGAGGCAGAAGGAGAAATAAGGCTACGAAATCTCATGGCAGTGGCCACAGAAGTCTCCTATGCTTCACATCCACCCTCAGAGCCACAGCTCTTAAGGCTCAAATCCTGTCTGAGTTTAGGTAATTTTTTAAAAAGTAGATCTATGGTTTATGTTTAAAAAGTCTAACCCTATCATCTTTACCAACTGGATAATAAGGTATTTCCATAATCCAGAGTTTGGCAATAGATCTGACTGTCCAGGAAACAGCCCTTCCCCCATGTCGGATACATTACTCTACACCTCAAAAATATGCGGGGAAAAAAAATCCAAGTAGCCAGACCCGTTACAGCTTGAAATCCATCTCGCCGTGCTAACCATTACCATCCATCACAAACTGTAGTCCAATTACCCCTCTAATCCTCTCAATGAAATCAGGCTATTTTCCTTCCTTTTATCTCAGTATCAACCATTCAAACCAATTCCAGTCAAATATTGATCTTGATGTTCTTCCAGTAAGGAAGATTCACAGCAATTTTGAAGATATCTAGAAATACATAACACGTATTCACTGCTCGTTTTCTGTGGATGGTTAGTTTCTAGTGCCACTTAGAATGAAGCAATATATTGTATAGTAAACTTTTAAAGCCAGTGTATTTGAGCCTGACCATAAGCAAAAGCAATTACTGTTAGTACAACAATCACCAAATTTATGGACAAAATCGTGAATAAGTTTCACTCAGACTATTCCAACCAGTAATCTCAGGAACTCAGGTATTTTACAGTTCGCGTGGTTTTCGCGCTCACCCAATGAAATTGGGGGGGACAGACAGGAAGGCAGCTAAGTGAGGCAATACCTGAAATGTGACATGATCAAACGCCATGGATTGTGAATAATTAATAGCAGAAACAAAGCAATTTGCAGGAAGAATCTAAACTCTTCAGTAAATCCTTAAAATTAATGAATGTACATGCAGGAGAAGTCAGATGCCAGCAAAGGGCCTAAAATGTCGCACACTTTGATAAGGATTTTGCATTGAGATGTGTGAATACCACAAGCAACCACTGAAGTGCTCCGGTTTTGATGAACTCCTGCTACTGAGTCAGTAGCTCCTCTGCAGCGACCAAACGGCAGGACGTAGCTAGCTGCCAGCAGGGTTTACATTCTCGCTATTAGCTTCTCCAGGAGATCTACTCTGATTTGGAGCTAGAGCAAAATAGCAAATAGCAAAATGAATAGTGCATGTAATGAAGTGAAATGAAAACAGAGGGGCTCCTGTACATAAAAAACTCCAAAGTGTCACCAGCAGTAGCTACTCTGTAATATTCTAGTTGTAAAGCTGGAATCGTATTTGAGTAAAATTCCTATTTCAGCAGCAGCAGGCTCTGCATGTAACACGGAGGAAAAATGCATTCAGTCTGGTGGCTCAGGTTCTTTCTATAAGGCAGAAGCAAAGCTTCCTGCCCTCAGAGAAAAATTAGCAACTATGTAAGATAACTAATTACTGGAAAGCTTTTGAACATTCAAGTGAGGAGGATTATTTAGAGTTAGAAAAGGGTCTACTATTGCCTTGATGTATAAATATGGTCCAATACAAAGTAGGACTCTGAGAACCTCAGGAATTACAGGCACTTCATTACTTGCAATATTTGTATAAAATTACTAGTGAAAAATACATACAAGCAAACCCAGAATCACAAATACAACACAGCAAGTAGAGCCTCCTCCTTTTCTTCAGATTTGCAGCCTCCTGGTGGTTATTAACAATACTATCTGAAGTAAAGATGAAATCCTGTTTTAACCTCCTTCCTGAAAAGGACGTGGACCAGAAAATAATTTTTAAAAATTCAGTGTTCAACTAAATGGAGGAAAGCAAAACTCTTTAAATGGAAGAAGCTTATCTAAAAAGCAAAATGGCTCGGATGTACTGTTAGAAGGAAGCAGGAAACGCTTCATATCATGCACAGTTTTAGCACCGATACCTCTGACTCTGAGGTATCTTGGCTGTTCTCAGACTACTGCTCCACCAGAGAAGTCCAGGTGTAACTATTATTGAAATAAAAGTAAGTAAGGCTGGGAACCATGAATTTAACTTTCTGTACTCTCCTCCTTACATCTCACAATCTTTTCCCAGCAAGAAAAGAGAGCAGGAAATTTACTCTGTGCTGCCCTAGATGCCACCCCCAGGAAGAAGGACTGTAAATAGGCAGCTACAATTCTCCCCTGCCAGGCATTGCTTCTGGGCAGTCATTCCCTGGTATTGAAAGGGAGAAGGGGCGGGGGGGGGAAGACATAGTCCACTGCTGAGCCCTCAACTACTGATCTGCTCCAAGAAGGAAAAAATCAGGTATAAGGCAGTCTGTTCCTCACAGGCACCTGATCTAGGATGGGGCAGCACACACGGCTCCCTCAGAGCTGATGGCTCCCATCCCATTTTGTCTATTTGACAGAGAAAAATCAAACTGCCCTTCTTTTTTGGTCTTGCCTTGGACAATATACACTGCGGCACCAGATGTAGTTTTGCCTGTCTGAAAGCAAAGGTCATCAATATCAGCTGCGAAGTGGTGCAGGGGGTTAAAGAAAAGAAGCCACAGAAAGACTAAATTCAGACACTGTTCCTCATTCTAAAATAGCAGCACTGGGGCCACCTTGGGCAGAGCTAACACTGAAAACAACCATAAAAGCATCAGCATCATCTGATCAGAAGAGCGTATCTGTAGCAAAGGTATTACGAAGTAGAAATAAAAGTTAAAATAAAAAAATTTAAAAATAATTAAAAAATGTGTTGAATAAAGCTGCCAGTAGCATCAGTACTTTACCTGGCTCTCAGTGAGAGGTCCAGCATTCACAGCCTGTCACTAGTTTTAAGAGGTGACAAATAAAACTCAAAAATAAAGAGGAACCTTGGTTCCCAGGCTTATCTCTAACATTAAATTTTACTGACTCGCTTCAGGGCTCTATCTACATACATCTCACAAGCAAATTATGATGCCCACAGAAAGCTTAAGAACAGATTGGATTGTCCCCTCCTGTTTTAATGGGACTGATGTCTGCCCAGTCTTCCCATGCAGCCTTTCATGCTGTATCACGTAACACAGCATCCCTGCAGTACACTGCTAGCTTTCGTGCATCACTTCCAATGATTTCTCCCTGATACCATAATATCCTAAAACTGTTAAGGTTCCTCTCCCAGGTTACCAATGGAGACAACAGTCTGTAACAACTTTCTTTTGAGTAAAATAATTTAAAACACAAGCAAAGGGTGATTTATACCAAGTTACCCCAGGGTCGCCTTCTTTGATTGTCACCAAAATCAGCATAAATGGATCCACCAGTGAACAAGGTTCATGGAGAGCCCTCGTGCAGCCATGCCGACAAAGACCCTCCTCAGGGCTCCCTGCCTGCCTTAGCATGAATATGTGTGGCCAGGCACACGAGGGTTCAAACACTGGTGCTGAAGAAACCCTTTGTCTGCTCTCAGGAAAAAAACAATACCCTTCCCCCAAATTAAAAAAAAAAAAAAAAAATTTTTTTTTGTTTTGTTTTGGTTTTTTTTTTTTTTTAAAAAAAAGTATAACACGAAGCATCTCCCCCACAGAGCCCAAGCACAACTCCTGACATTAAAAGGGGCCATAAATCTGCACAGGTGAGCTCTTTCATCCCATTACTGCTCAGTAATTACACCAACAGAAAATACGACCTAAAGCTGGCATGAATAAATGTATTTGGAGCCTTCACAGGCCCCACAAGCCTCACTCCTTCAGTTGCCATTATAGTTGAAGCACAACAAAGTGCCTCCCAGCAGAAATTAGAAACCTTTTAGAACCCTTTTAATCCCAGTTTCACCAAACGCACTGAGGATGCTTATAAATATTCAATATGAATTTTTAAACTCTCTTTCTCTCATTTTCCCTCACCCCAATTAGCATTAGAAATCGTTTTACTTTTAAATACACAGATGGGAGCCAAGTCTGAAGTTAAAGGCACTCACTCACTATAGCGACGAGTGCCATGTAAGAGTAGAGCCAGCTAGCAACACAGGCAGCCCCAGGCATCAAAATAACACAGAATATAGCACAAACAAGAAAGGATTAATTCAAATGTTGGTGGAGAAACGTGAAATAGCACAGAGGACTAAAGCTGTGCCAGAGCTTACCCAACATGAAATCCAGTCCACTGTGTCCCCATGGCCCCAGGCAAGGATTTCACACTTTCTCATTAGCGTGCTATAATTACTCTGAAGGCTCAGCATGAGGATCTCAGGGACCTGCCCAAGCTCCAAATAGCCCTGAAGACTAGCACAGTCAAGTCCAAGTCTGAATGTTATGACTCAGTCTTCCTGGCTCATTTCTCATTGCACCTGTGTCTTATTTAGCTGCCTCCACCAAAGCCTAATCTGCTTGTCTTGGCAAATCTCGCAGGTGGAGGTGTTAGCCATAGCTTTAACACTCCCAAAATGTAAATCTCATGTTAAAACATCAGAAGAAGATGATCCTTGGGAAATCAACTGATTAACACACAGTACATTTCTCCTACAAAATAATTCAGAAATGCCTGACTTAGATACTTACATAGGATTTCAGCTCTGTTTCATATGCATATCCAACTACCTCTTAAGGGCATCGGCAGCAGGTGGCGGTAATAAGAAAGGACTGTGACTACCTGGTTGAGAGATCATTGATCTGTTTGTTCTTCCTTTTTTCCTGAAGTCAATGGAAATATTGTAATATGCATGGTAACAAGGCTACCTATTATTGTTATTTAGGATACTGGTTATCCTGTAGGAACATGGCAACCTTGCTTAAAAGTTCTACTAAGTCTTTCCCAAGCCAGCAGTAGTTTCCAATGGTTTCTGAAAGGCTGCCTCACCCCCACAATGGAATGCCTTTTCCTCTAGAAACAGTATAAAGTCAAACGTGATATCCAAAGACTTTGCAGAATATATGCCTTTGGATTTTATTTTATCCAAAAGGATAAAATTATTTTATCCTAAAGGATACAATAAAGCCTCTTGTCTAGTCCCTCTTGCACGCAGCAACCACAAGGTTAAACAGTCTTCCCAACAGTTAGACATGAGGGGTTTAGTAAATTCAGGGAAGTAAATGGAAGAAATGGAACCAGTTGTGGACTGCTATTACACTTACATGTCCAGTCTGTCCATGTGGAATTCATCTGAGCTCCCCATACAATTCATGGCAAAAAAAAAAAAAGAGTCACTTTCAGAGCATGATTCATCTGACCTATTTTAGGTGATCATGTTAAAATGAGCAGAGCTGAGCCC